GTGAGTTTCTGAGATGACATGGATGTCGAGGTGATACCGCCCAGCTGTACGAATGACGTCAGCCAGATTGCCATCTCCGTTTAAAGTTCGCACGTTTCAGTAGGTGTGATACGGATCTTCTCTTTGCTGATGTTGATCGGTGCTAAACGTTCGCATCCGTGGACGTACATCACTCATCGCACAGGCGTAATTGGGTCACTCAGCAGAGCGAAAGCGATACGCAGAGGTGTGCAACTGAACAGTGATCCGAACAATCAACTTGATCGAATTTTCTCCATTTCCAAGTATCGATCGAGCTTTTGAGTCAGAGCTTTCCAGGATTTCTGACTGTTTGCCCTTGCCATTTCAATTGCTGGCCTATCTCCTTCTGGATCTGATGAGCTGCATGTCAAACTTCTACGGGGAGGTTGGAAAGTTTTGTTTTGCGACGGTTGACCTGTTGGTGGTTGGATGTTTAGTCGTGAAGGAAACGGCTGAGTGTAAAACTTTTTTGCACGCGATTTCGGTGCCAGCTTTGATACTGTTTTACCGTCTCTTCTCTAAAGCGCGACAGATTTTCTGTATAGCGTCAATTGTCTCCTATATTCTCGTAGGCTTCTGGGATATTCGGCTTTATTACCAATTTCAAAATTTCATGAAGTTTTCTCTTCATTTGAATTTTGTAAGCTTGCAGAGGAGAAACTACTTTTCTTTGTAATTTCCGTCGCTTCATGCTTCTCCTTTTTCCCAACAGGCTTCTATTCGTTGGGATTCTTTCTTTCGTTCTCGTTGATTTTAGCTGCCCTCAGGCAATTGCCTGAGTTTATCGGTAATGCTCTCATAATTGTCCTCCAAGATTTCCTTAAGGCTCCAGTTTTTCATTGCCATGACGCTGTTCAGGATCGTCTTATCCAACTCTCTGTCGTCTATGATTCGCCATCTATTGTCTATCCTTTACTATTAAAAAATGAATTAAAACAGTAAACCCTCGGAAAAATAATCTATTTTCAGGTCATGCGAATTATCTTTGGCATAATGATTGCCAAGTAGATGGCAGTAATTGTGGCTAACGCGTAGCAGAGTGGACTGCTGTAAAGTTGCCATCATTTCCGCCGGTAGTACAAGTTCTGCAAGCAGCATGCTGTTATTATCTATTAATCTGTCAAAAGGAATGTGTTCTAAATTCATTTTTGTAGTTTTTCTGCGCATTACCTTTGTCGGGTGCTAAAAAACCATGATAACCAGTTATTTAGAACAGCTGTTTATTAAACTGTCAAGTTTTGGTTATGTTGTATAGTCGGTTACCTTTACAGGAGTATAAATAATGACTAGCAGTGCTTAGAAGGACTGCACCGGTTAGGTCACTTGTTGCAGATCAAATTATCCTGTAAGAAACGATGTGCCTGATATGTTTGGAGACATTGCTGGCGTGCTTAGATCATCTGTTGCAAGGAAGCTAATTCTCATTTGGCAGTTAGCTGGGAACTGAAAGTTGAACTGTGAAGGTTCGGCAACCGTCGGGTTGTATAGTTGAAGAAATTGACACTAAAATTGCGGTTACACCTTATGCTGACTTTTGCATAGGATGATCAGCTATCAGATAAGTGATAATCTATCAGATATCAAAACAAAATGCAGCCACAGGTGGATCGATAGAAGAGGAAAGTAGTGATCCGGGAAATCACCCGATATCTAGCGTCGGCTAAACCAGTGATCGTTACAGCCGTAACAACAACAGGAATAACGATGATTATGCTAATCATGCAATGCATCAGGCATTAGATTAATATTAGTAAACTTTACTAGCCACATGAAACATACAAAGATCATTTTACAAAAATAACAACGGAAATCTTGAAAACAGCCCACTTCGGTTGTGCTTGTACGGTCCGAAGCACCTGCGGTCCCGGTGAGTTATGAATCTCACCTGGACAGCTTCCATCAACCGTCTTTTTCTTCCCTTGCTTACACGGAATAATCAACTATCAGGCGGGCCAAGCGAAATGTAGCCACTCGAAGTGTGATGCTCACATCGGACAGCATGCCCGTACATGTCGGCCATTCTGGCAGGACCAAGGCACAATATCATGTTGGCTCTAGTTGTCATAAGTCACCGACAATCTGTTTTTCGGCTGGTTGCACAAAACAACGTCAGGTTAATTTCTACCTCAACGACAATTTACGGATAAGAAATAGGTTATCATTTCAGTGAGTTCGAACCCGGCTAGACATACGCCTGTCATCGAGGATGAATCATTCGCTAGCCTTAGGCATTATCCAATCGAATACTGGAACCAATGACTGAACTGCCTAGTGTAACGTTTAGAATTTGCGGCTATTCGAAAGATTATATGGATCAGTAGAATGCTGATAGCTTTATGTGATAAAGTTGGCAGCGTTTATAAGCTTCAACTCTTAGCTTGTAGTGTGCTTGCTTAGTAGCAACAGGTAGTTGCCACTTCACGGTATATCATAAGACTTTCAGTACTTTTTCCTCTAATCTCGTCCATAGTTAAATTACTTTACAATAGAAAGTATACATTAAATTACTACCATTTGTTTGCCCAAGACTGTCCATGCGTCATATAACTCATAATACCAGAATGATGGATGCTTCGTTGAGTGGACAATATGAATCTTAAGCTGTATGACGTCTTGCCGCACGCTATGACCACGACGACATGCTGTAAGATGTTTTGCTGCTTGTTAGCATGACGTTTTCTGGTGATCGTTCTTGACCAGTCGCAGAGTGCGAACACATATATGGGCCAAAAGTTGTCGAAACACTGGGAACTAGTTTGTGGCTATCCTCGCTGTGCTGCATTTTCGAAGATGCCCGTGGCAAGGACTGCCGTATTTGGTACATCGCTTCGCGTCACGTTGGCGACGTTGGTCAGCCACCTGTTGTTTAACTACTTCTTCAGCCCTCGCTACCTCCATGGCTACCTATGGAACATAAATATGAACGTCACTGCGGTGATCACCGACTCGTCTGTGCCCGCACTGCTCGAGTACCAGCAAGTACTCTTGCCTCCGGCCGCGAACTTGCTCTGCTGTTTTCTCTACGTGCTCGTCGTGCTGATGTTCCTGAAGTAGGCGGCACAGAGTTCACTGTGAATTGGGTTTCCGTTAAAAGTTGTTTGCCTTTCAGGAAAAATGCTGAAAAACATCTCAGTGCCTGTGCCTTGTTAACGTCCAGCAGTGCATTCGGTCTGTTCAATGGCTTGATGGAAGCACAAGTGATCTTCTTATATCAGGGGGCAGTCATAACCGTCCTTCATGTCGCCGTTTATGCATTTATGAGCATGTTTTTCGTTTCTTTAATTTTGACATTTCGAATAAGAACACGAAAGACCGACCAGTGAAAATGTACTAGAATCAGTAATAAATATGTCGACAAATGAAATCTCATTTCAAATAAACGTGCGTTCACAGGCACACTTAGCTTCAAGAATTTAACTTCATACACTGAGAGCTATCGGCCATATCCGGTTGCAGATTGTGGATCTTCGTACGATTAAGTCTGTGTGAATACCTGAATGTTACTACATACACATTTCCCAGGATTTCCTGCTTCGCCTTCGAAGCCCGGAGGCCCTTCTGCTCCAGGATAGCCCTTTTCACCTGTTTCTCCTTTTTCACCTTCTAAGCCAGATTGACCTGGCGGTCCCATTGGCCCGTTGATACCCGAAAGACCTGGCGGTCCTTTATTACCCATTGGACCTGGAGGACCATAATCACCCCAAGGTCCTATTTCCATTGTAGTAATTGGCGTTGGTCCTTTATCGCCAGGTTCACCTGGTGGCCCTGTGTAGCCCCATGGCCCTTCCAACCCTGGTTCTCCTTTATCTCCGGGATATCCCTGTTCTCCTAGAATAATACAATGTCAATCATATATCAATGAAAAACTGACTCCAAACCTGTCAAGCCACTAGGGCCTGGTGGCCCGGGATCGCCAGGAAATCCAGGCCACCCTCTAGATCCTCTCAGTCCTTGAGGACAGAGCGGACAAGGTTCCGGAGTTTCAATTTCTTCGAGTGGGCACCTCGTGTACGGAGTTTTGCCAGGAACTCCGGGCTTTCCCGCTGCGCCTGGAGTACCTGGTTGTCCTGGGTTGCCCGGATTTCCTCTTTTGCCAGTAGAACCTCTTATGCAGCATCCTAACGAGTAAAATTTATCATAGTCTTCATTACCGAATACCGTTCAATGGTAGCTCACCGGAACACTTAGTTGAGAAAACGGTGTCAGCGACGAATTGCATCTGTCGTCCTTGAACAGGCTGGGATTCTGGTGGGTGATTGTCATAATCTTCTACGAAGGAAGCTCTTCGTCCTATTCGTCTGTAACTCTCTGATTTTAAAGCCGACGCGTCAAATTCCTTCATAATTCGTTGTGCTTCTTTGTACGAATCCTAAAATAGGCCGAAATCATAGATTATAGTCAATTAGACCATAGATTTGATCGATTGTCATCAAGAATAGCAGAATCCAATGCCATCGGTGGTCAGACTTACAGGATGTAAAATCATGGTACAATAATTAAGATATTTAGGTAAATCACAAACGGGAAGATAAAAGCATATAATAGTCTTTAATTAGGGACATCTGACGTTTCGGACCAAGCTCGGTCCGTCTTCAGGGATTATACCCTAATTAATTACGCGTTGTCTTTCCGTTTGTGACTTACCTAAAGATTTTATCACCTCCTGCATAAAGAAATCATGTACGATTTTCAATAATATGATTATCAATACTGAAAAACGTAGAGACAGATTTTTCTGGACTTGGAATTGAAGAACCAAAATGCGTGGTAAAATGATTAGATGAGCAAACAGACACTTTGAAATCACTGCATCACCTTTGTGACGTTTGCTAGCAGAAACAAGTTTGATGTGACTGTGAAAAATCTTGAATGTTGCAAAGTAAATTCGCGATTTTCTGTTTTATAAGTCATCATTTTGCACATATTCATCGACAATAATTTTCTCAGACCTCAAGAGTTCACTGTGACCCTTTTTAGATTTTGTCAAACCAATTTATCACATGACTCTCAGCATATCGCAAAATGCAAACGATGCATACTCAACACTTCAAGCTTTCAGAGTTTGTCCCCTGTCGAGGGAATTCGTTGACATATACTTCAGCACCGTGTTTTCTCGTCAATCTTTCATTCCAGCATCTGCCCGGGTTCTAACTCACCAGAGGGCATCAAAGACCGCTGAATTCCTTTGGCATGAAAGAGGAGGGTCAATTATTTTTTTCATCTATTATTCGTTCTGTTTCGTTTTCAAATGTTTTCATCACTGCTATGTTAAATTTGTAAGGTCACCTGCAAAATTTCATTTTCTTTTGGCGAATTCCCTTGAGTAAAAAATTAA